GGCCAGGCCTCTCTGCTGCAGGGGGGGCCCTGTGTGACGTAGTGGGGGTACCTTGCTGGTTTCTATGCTGGGGCTGTGGTAACCCCCACTGGCTGCTGTCTATACCACGGCCCAGCAGGACAGGGGATGAGTCATTATGCAAAAAGGGTCTCAACCTGTCTGACCAGCTACCCCCCAAGGAGAGAAACAAAGGAAGGTGGAATGCTGCCCCTGGCTGGGGGGTAGGGCTGGAAGAGAGTTAGTTAGTTAGTTTCTGTCGGGAAAGCAGGGGAGAAGGAGCTGGGGAGGGGGGCTGGGATTGTAGGGCCCAGCCACCCCCATCTCAAGGGGGGGCACGGAGGCCTCTTAGCCCCAGTTCCTGTAACCAGATGACATCTGTGCTGTGCTGTATCCTGGAGAGGCAATCAACTCCCTCTATTCTACTTGCTGGTGGAGTCTGTTTGTGCCATTATGGGGGTGCAGGAGACGGGGGAACCCCAACGCGCCGTCACACCCTGCCACGAGTGTGTGGTGCTTCTAAGTGCTGTGCACTCCTGGCAGGGCAGGAGGAGACTGCGTGGGCTCCCCTCCACCCCCAAGCCCTGGGCAGGAAGTGAGACACTTCATGTGCTTCCCGTCCCCAGGCCCTGATGGGTATGAGTGCAGCCGTGAGGAGCATGCAGAGTCTCCTCTTACTGTCAGGGGCACAGGTACTTAGAGGTAACTGTTCTCTGGGGGTGGGGAGGTAAAGACTTTGCATACTCCCCCACTCCCAGACCAATCAGGGTCTGTGGATAGGGAAGCAAAGAAATGTCCTGGCCCTACCCCTTCTCCCTGAGTCCCTGCCCCTTCCAGGGCAGCCCCTGGCCACTTCAAAAATTTCTGAGTGGCCCCTGGTCAAAAATTATTGCCTGTCCCTGGTCTAGAAACTAGGGGTGTTGTCATGTTGCTGTTCACACAATTAACCAATAAACCTGGGTTTATCAGTTAATCCTAATGACGTGGGAGAGGCAGGAACCAGTGCTCAGGGGGAGCCTGCTTTTCAGCTGGCTCCCCATGCATGCTGGCTCCCCAGAGCTGCCTGCCTGCCCCCGCTATGCTGCTGCCTCTGATAGAAAAGAAGCAGTACAGGAGATGAGGGAGGCAGGCAGGAGCCAGCACAGGCAGGAAGCAGCTTTCAAGCAGTCTCCCTGCGTTTGTCAGCTCCCGCAGAGCCACCTTCCCCATGTGCTGCTGCCTCTTTGTCAGGGATGGGGAGGTAGGAGCTGCTGCTTAAAGGCTGGCTCCTCCCTGAACACTGGCTCCCAGGTGCTCCTCCCATGTGTAAACATCTAACTGCTAAAATTTCCTGTCCTGACATGTTTACACAAATAAGCGATAGTTAACATCCTAGTAAACTGCTCATGATACTTAAGACCAAAGCAGACAGTGAAAAGCTTCAAAAGGATTTCACAAAACTAGGTGACAGGGCAATAATGTCAAATGAATTTTAATGTTGATAAATGCAAAGTAATGCATATTGGAAAATTTAATCCCAACTATACGTACAAAATGGCGAGGACTAAATTAGCTATTACCACTGGAGATCTGAACATCCACTCCAATGTGCAGCAGCAGTTAAAAAAGCAAAAGGAATGTTAGGAATCCTTCAAAAAGGGATAGAAAGTAAGACAGAGAATATCTTATTGCCCCTCTATAAATCTATGGTATGCCCACATCTTGAATACGGCGTACAGATGTGGTCACCTCATCTCAAGAAAGATTTCTTAGCATTGGAAAATTCAGAAAAAGGTAACAAATTAAGTGGTTAGAATGGTTGCCATATGAAGAGATTAAAAAGGCTGGGACTTTCCCACTTAGAAAAAGAGGAGACTAAGAGAGGATATGATAGACGTCTATAAAATCATGACTGTTGTGAAGAAAGTAAATAGGGGAACAAGTAAATTTTCTTAATGTTGGAAGTAGGTATTGCCAAATGAAATTAATAGGTAGCAGTTTTAAAACAAACAAAAGGAAGTACTTCGTGCAATGCACAGTCAACCTGTGGAACTTTTGCCAGAGGATGTTATGAAGACCAGGATTTTAACAGGGTTCAAAAAAATAACTAGATCAATTTATGGAGAATAGGTCCACCAATACTTATTAGCCAGGATGGGTAGAAATGGTGTTCCTAGCTTTTGTCAGAGGCTGGAAATGGGTGACGGGAGGAATCACTTGATTACCTGATCTGTTCATTCCCTCTTTGACACCTGGTATTGGCCATTGTTGGAAGACCTATCATTTCACCTAGTATGGCTGTTCTTGTGTTTTTAAAATGTGTGTTGTAATTGGCTTATTTTAGTCCAGTCCAGCCATGTGGAAGATTGCATAGAAGGCTTGCTTTTGTAGACTTGAGAACTTGCTTGATCATCTCCTGATTGTTGTCCAGGATGCTGATCAGATGATTTTGTAATTTCTTTAAGAGTTGTAGCACAGTTTCTCACTGTAGTCAGGGTAGTGTGTCTGTTTGTAATGAATTTTTCACCTTCAGTCCCTTTTGAATGATGTCTGTCTATCTGGGTGAGGGGTGGTGTCTTTTTTTGTTGTTGTTGTTTTTTTGTGAAGCTGATGGATTTCCATTTCAAACAGCAAAGTTCTGTGCCTCATAACAGGTTTGCGAGAGAGCTGTGTTACTCTGATTCAGGAAAAGCAAAAAGGTGTTGGGTGACACTTTAAAGACTAACAAATTTATTAGGGTATAGGAGCATAAGCTTTTGAGAACTACAATTCACTTCATTGGATGAGAACATAAGAATGACCATAGTGGGCCAGACCAAAGGTCCATCTAGGCCAGTATCCTGTCTGCCGGCAGTGGCCAATACCGGGTGCCCCAGAGGGAGGGAATACAACAGGTAATCCTCACATGATCTCTCTCCTGTCATCCATTTCCAGACAAAGGCTAGGGACATCATTCCTACCCATCCTGGCTAATAGCCATTAATGGATCTAACCTCCATGAATCTATCTAGCTCTTTTTTGAAGCCTGGTAAAGTCCTAGTCATCACAACATCCTCTGGGAAGAAGTTCCAGAGGCTGACTGTTGTTGAGTGAAGGAAAACTTCCTTTTGTTTGTGTTAAACCTGCTGCCTATTTAATTTTATTGTGGACCTCTAGTTCTTATACTGTGGGAATAAGTAAATAACTTTCCCTTATTCACTTTTTCCACACCAGTCATGAATTTATGGACCTCTATCATATTCTCCCTTAAAACTGCTCTTTGCTAAACTGAAAAGTCCATATCTTTTTAATCTCTCTTCATATGGGACCCATTCCAAACCCCTAATCATTTTTGTTGTCCTTTTCTGAACCTTTTCCAATGCCAATATATTTTTTTGAGATGAGGTGACCACACCTGTATGCAGATGCCTAAGGTTGTGAGGAAAGGATACAGAGATGGGAATATGACAACAAAATGAGGGGTTCAGTGTGTGAGACAGGGCTGCCAGCGAATGGGATAGGGATGTGGTGCAGGATCTGGGAGGGAGGTGGGGGTGCAGAAAGGGGGAAAGGTTGTGAGGTCTGATTTGAAATCTACCATACCATTCTCTCACTTGAATGCACTTTTATGTAGAAAATCGTGATTAAATCTAATCTTCCCAACTATTGATTTTAATAATGTTTTAAATCAATTTGATTTAAATTAAATCTACCCTATTCTTTAGCTAGGGCTTTTGGCACTCTCCAAACCTGTAAGGAAAATACATTGTAAACCATATTGAAATAAGGTGCATTCAACAATTAATTCCCCGCTGGCCTGGAGCTCCATGGGGTGCTTCTGCTTTGAAATGTAGCAAGAGCTCCAGCTGGGAAACTTGTACATTTCAAAGGTGGAACACTGCTACTGTGCCCCTGCCCTCTCCCATGGAGCTGGAAGGAAACAGTTTTTAAGCTGGCTCCCTCCAGCACCCCTCCCCTCTTCCTCCACCTCTCCCCCCTCCCCCGCCTCTTTCTGATAGAGGCAATAAGGTGGGGGAGAAGCAACTAGTCAATGTCACATGCATCCCTAGTATAAAATTGCTATATGTCTTTTTGCTTGCATTGGGCTCATGGGAAGTGTTGTTGAATTCAGTAGGAATTGTTCACTAACAAAGTTATGAAAGTAACTAAATATTTGCAGGATCAGGGTGGTCATTTGGACTAGTTACATGGATCTGTACATTTTGAAACTAGTTCAAATGAAAACTACAGCATCAAGTTTTGCACTTTTTGTAAAATAGAGCAGAGAACTAGTTGCAAAAATAATACCTTTAGAGACTCACTAGAAGAACATTTTATCCTGTGCTTTTTGACTATTCAATAAACATAACTGTCACTGAAGTAGTAATGGTGTTTGTTCTTTACACTGACTTTTTTTGTTCACAGAGTTAAAATCATCAGTATTCGATGACTGTTGGAAGACCAACGAATGGAAGGTATACAGTTATTACTTGCTTAACACATGCACACTTAACACGTTTTTGTGATAGCATTTTTTGGGGGAACGTTTTTTGAACAACACGACTGTCCCGGAAATAACATGGTTTCCCCAGCCAGCCGGTCACCGGTGGCTGCGCAGGGCTTTCCCCGCCTCCCTTCAAAGTGGCAGAGGGTTCACTGCTCACTGCACTGTTCCCCGGAGACCCCCTCTCGCCGGACGCCTTGCTCCCTCTCCTCTGACCCAACTTGCAGGCCAGGGGCTGGGTTTCCCCATTCCCCACCGCTTGAAACGCAACCCCCACCTTTTCCATTATTTTCAATGGAAAAATTGACCCTGCATAACATGTTTTCACTTAACACGATTATTTTCTGAAATGTATCTACCATGTTAAATGAGGAATTACTGTAGTTCATTTTTTGTTTTTGTAACACTTGAGAATTAGTGTTACCTGAAACCAATAGTCTGTCATTAAGTACACTAACTTAATATTTATTTTCTTGTCTGAGACAGTCCTCACAGTTTCATGAAATGGCCTATAGTAGATGAAAAATGGATTTGTCTTCTGGTTTCCTCATGATGTAGATGGAAAACATGAAAGATGATTCTGACCGACCGACCACTGGTGGGAATCCTGGTGCATATAAAGTATTGGTGTGTACTGGCGAGTATGTTTCCACTGCAGTTAAAATCCTGCAACTGGCCTTTGCTGGCTTACTCAGGCTCAGAGTAAAAGGCTGTTTAATTGTGGTTCAGAAATCTGGACTTGGACTGAGGGATGAGACCTTTCCACCTTGCAGAATCCTAGAGCCTGGGCTCCTACCTGTGTCTGAACATCTCCACCATAATTAAACAGCCTCTTGGCCCAAGTCTCAAGAGACAGCTCATCAGGCCAGATACTGGTTTTTAATTCCAGTGTAGACATACATGCAGTAGAATTAAATGATATCCGTTTGGAGCAGGGTTAGACAAAATGGTGCTTTTAAAATGCTGGCTGCAGTCTAGAGCCTTCTGTACATGAACATCTCTGTCAACAGTGGGCCTGCACTGGTGGCAGCTCTGATACTCTTTGCCAAAAATATTCCCATGTCTGTCTTAGGGATGTGAATAACTAGTCACCGCCCCTTTTCCCCTCCCGACCCTTCCCTTGCTGTCTCTATCAGAGGCAACAAGGGCAGAGGGAAGACAAGGGAGTGCTTCAAAGTGGCAATGCTGCATGGAGCCCAGGGTCTGCTGTTTTGAAACACCACGTGCAGCCCAGCATCAGGCTCTATGCAGCATTTCAAAGTGGCAGCACCGAGTGGAGCCCGGGGTCAGCTGAGGACTCCCCCATTAACCCCGGGCTCCATGCGGCTCTGCCACTTTGAAATGCCACGGGGAGCACAGGGTCAGCGGGGGATTGCTTGAGTCCCCCGTTGGGTCTGTGCTCCCCGCAGAGCTTTCGCTCTGGAAGTATAGCAATAGCCCATGGGGTGTTGCTACGTTTCAGAGGTGGGTGTGCCTTTATCAACTAACCGAATAGCTGATGCAAATTGCATTGACTACTCGATTAGCCAATTAATCTAAATTTAACATTCCTAGTCTTCCCTATGACCAGTATAGAACTACTAGGAATGATATTAGGGATGTTTTTGCATTAAATTCTAATTAACTGGGAATTAGAAGCTATGTTTGTTCAGTCTGTTAACACAATCTAATTTTTAGAAAACCTTTTCAGGTTTTCTTTATTTAACATGGATCTTAGAGCCAGGTGCAAATTCTTCATTTAAAAACTTGAAGTTTAGTCATGTCTACTTGAACACAGCTTATGGGACATTATAGAGTTATGATTTTTATTTAGAATTTTTGGGGGGCGTTAATCCTAATGCTTGTGAGATTTGTTACACAAACAATAAAAATAATCCCATAGTGGTGATGCAATTGTTTTACCATGAACAAAGATCTGTAAAATAAAAATTGCCCAGGCATATCTGGAGAAGAAACTTAATGATTCAGTTTGATCTGATCTGAAAAGAAGACTTTTTTTGTGCACTAAACCAAATGTTGTAATACCTGCGCTATCTGGAACTTAAGCATCCAGAAAACTGTAGGAACATGCAGATTTCTGATGCTGGGAAAATCAAAACAAACAAAAGGAAACTGGCCCTTTAAGTGCTGGGCCGCTGCTCAGATGAGCGTGCATCATGTACCTGGGGGAAGGGCAAATAGCAGCTGGAAGCAAGCAGCTTGGCTTTGGTCTCCCCCTGCCCCCCCCAACAGAATTTTTCCCTTTTGGGGGGGGGGATGCGGCTTAGTATTTTTGTTTCAACCATCTGGCAGCCCTAGCCCCGGCTTCCACCCCTCCTCACCAGGCTGCATCCCGCCCCCCGAGGCTCATGGCCCCTCTAGCAGGCCACATCCCGGCCCCCACACGGCTCCCCGCATGGCTCCTACTCTTCTCCCTCCCCTCCCAGATGACCAGAATTTTTAGGCTACCAGCACTCCCTAATCCTTGGGCATGCTGGATAACACAGGTTTTATTGTACAATGAAGACAGCCACTGCAGGACTCAAACAGATCTTCTGAGGTAGTGAATTTTGTAGATGAGAGGTAACTCAAGCAAGATGGAAGTTTGGATTGTTGAGCAAGGCCAGCTGGGCTGATCTCAACTAGGGATGTTAACACATTTTTTGTAAATGCTGATTTTTTTTTTTTTCCAGAGGTTACATGTTTACTTGTGGGGAAGAGGTGGGAGCCAGTATTCATGCCTGTCCCTGTCCCTCCTGCTGCCTCTGCAGAGGCAGCAGTGCCAGGGATGGGAAGAGGCAGACAGCTCTACAGGAGCCAGTATGCGCAGGGAGCTGGCTTGAAAGCCAGCTTTCTGGCTTCCCCTGTAAATAGGCTCCTGCATGGCCCCCTCCCCTGCCTCTGTGGGTGGCA